TGCATTGATTTTTACAAGTTCATCTTTGTTCACTGTGGTTAGCTTGGCAGGTTATACCCATAACTGTAACTAATGCTGTTTATTTTGCTCTCATTAGCCTGCTACTAATATTAATTTGGGTTTTATTTCCCCTTTCAGGCGTGGACCTGAGCAATATTGTGAAAGCTGTGCGACAGCCTGCCTCTGAGAATGGGCAGAGGCAAAAGCATCAAATCCTGCTGGTAGGAGCACAAATTGCTGTTGTCTCCTAAGAATGTCATAATATAAGTAATAGACCAAGAATTAATGGCATGTCCCTTCTGGTTCTGCCCCTGTCCCATTTCTCTGGGAGCTCTTCAAGAAGTTAATCCATTTATTCTGCAAACCAGGAATAATGTAAAAATTGAAAGAGCTTCTTGAACTTTGCAGGGAAATATCTGTGTGAGTGAGGCTGTACCAGGTGGAGGTCGGGCTCTGCTCCCAGGGGACAAGGGACAGGATGAGAGGAAAGAGCCTCAGGCTGTGCCAGGGGAGGGTCAGGCTGGACATCAGGAGGAATTTCTCCATGGAAAGGGTGGTCAGGCATTGGAAGGGGCTGCCCAGGGAGGTTTGGATGTGGCCCTCAGTGCCCTGGGCTGGGGGACAAGGTGGGGATGGGGCACAGGGCGGACTCGGTGATTTTGGAGGTCTTTTCCAACCTCAGTGATTCTGGGATTCCAAGTGCCAAATGGCAGCATTTCCTGCCTGGGGAGGGCAGAAACTGCCTTTCATAACCTAGAAGCAGATTCTGCTGTGGGCAGGTGAACTCAAAAACACAGGAAAAACTTCAGTTGAAAGAAACAAAAGTAACCTGGTTGGTAGGTGTGAGCTGGCTCTTCTGAGGGTAATGAAAAGGCTGAATAGTCCCTCACCAGCAAGGGTATAAAAATACTCATAAATAGAAAAATACTCACCACTGACCCCTGTGAAATCATAAAATCCTGGAAAGGTTTGGGTTGGAAAGAGCTTGAAGCTCATCCAGTTTCACTCCCTGCCGTGGGCAGGGGCACCTTCCACTAGCCCAGCTTGCTCCAAGCCCTTTCCAGCCTGGCCTTGGACACTTCCAGGGCTGGAATGTGCTGGTTGGACCCAGTTCACCTGCCCCTGGTCAGACTGGTACCCAGTGGTGGGTGGCAGTGGTGGCAGGAGCACAGAGCTGCCCCCGTTCCTCCGGGGCTCCGTCGCGCGAGGGCAAAACGCTGCTCTGGAAGGCAGCAAAGTTAGTTTTAAACGAACAAGTTAGTTTTAAACGAACAAATTCGACTGGCCCCGTGGAAAATTAACCCTTGGTGTCTTCCCCAGACCCTGGATTCCCTGGGGAGAGCCGTGGCTGACTCGGACCTGGCGGAGCTGCCGGAGCAGCTCGCGAGCTTCTCGGCGCAGTGCAGGGAGCAGTTGGCCTTCCGCTACCTGGCCGGGCAGAACGGGGCCTACCCCGTGGTGTTCTCTGCCTGCCAGCTGGCCTCAGGAGACAGGGATTTGCTGCTCAAGGCCTTCTCCACCCTGTCTGCCCTGCTGGATGGGCAGCCCGACCTGCTGGACGCTGCAGGGCAGGAGCTGCTGCTGCAGAGCCTGCGGGAGCGGCGGGAGGACGCGGAGCTGGCGCTGGCGGGGATCCGCTGCGTCAGGAACGCCTGTCTGAAACACGAGCAGAACAGGCAGGACTTTGTCAAGGGGGGGATCCTGCCCCTGCTCACTGGAACCATCACCCAGCACGGGGACAGCGCCGACGTGGTCAGGATGGCGGCCTCGGCCCTGCGGGTCATGACCTTCGACGACGACATCCGCGTGCCCTTCGGCCACGCCCACGACCACGCCAAGATGATCGTGCTGGAGAACGACGGGCTGAGGGTCCTCATCGAAGCTGCAAAAGGTAAAATTAAACACCCCCCCCCGTGGCTGCTGGTGCTGATTTGGGCGCTGGAACCGGCTCTCCCCGGGGTCACAGCACCGAGGCTGGCAGAGCTCGGGGAGCGTTTGGGTGACACCCTTTGGGCACGAGGTGTGGCCCTTGGGGATGGTCCTGTGCAGGTCCAGGAGCTGGACTCTGATCCTTGGGGGTCCCTTCCAGCTGCATATTCTGTGATTTCTTCTCTTATAAGCCTTTCTTCTCTTAAAACTTCAAATTCTGTCGTGACTTGAAGCTCCTCCCAGGTGATTTCGGAGATTTGCCACTAAAATGGTGTTTAATTCTACTGAGGGAATGGGCCCCAAGGGAGAAAAATAAGTGCCCCCTCGGTGCTGCTGATAACCTCTGGAGCAGACACATTATCAGGGGTTATTTGTCACTGTGTTTAGGGAGTATTTCACAGCCCAGAGCAGGTTTGCAGGCACATTATCCCTGCTGAGGTGCTTCTTGCCGAGAAAAGATATTCTGCCTCTGTCTAGAAACAGAGTGAGCAGGTGTCATCTCTCCTATTTTAATATATAAAGGGAAATAACACTCTTACACTCTTTCCTGTTGTTTTTTTGTTTTTTTTTTAATGAAGCAAAGTAAACCATCTTAATTCCCTGCTTGTTACTCCCTCCATCCTCTCTCCTCTGCAGCGTTCACAGACAACTCCGGGGTTCTCAGTGAGCTCTGTGCCACCCTCTCTCGCCTCTCAGTCAGGAACGAGTTCTGCCAAGAGATTGTGGACCTTGGGGGCTTAAATTTTATGGTGACTCTGCTGGCTGACTGCATGGAGCACCCTGTGAGTGATGGGAAGTGTTTTGGGAGTGGGGGGGACACAGCGGGACGTGCTCTTCGTTCCCAAGGATGGGATTCATTTTAATGAATGAGCCTCAGACCAGGCAATATTTTATCTGTAATTAGGGTTGAAACCCAACCTCTGACCCCCATTTACAGCCTTATATATAAACATGGTTACATGTGCTTTGCAGGTAAGGTTTGTAAGCCCCTTGCTCACAGTTGCTCCTCTGTGCTCCACGAGCAGAACTCTTGCTTGCTCCCACAAAAGCTGAGTGTTTGGTTTTCCACCATTCTAGCTAGAATAGATTTATGAGGATTTGGGTGCTCAGGTCCCAGAGGTTGATGCTGGGTTCTTTAAGCTTCTTTAAAACCCTCTGCCAAACCAAGTGTCCTTATAACTCCGTGTAGCAACACAGTGACTGCGAGCAGCCTTGTAGCTGGTAACTGCAACTGTTTGCATGGGGCTGTTGGAGGATGCTCTGGCTCGCTTTCAGAAGTCTTAAAGTTCCCTCTGCTGTGTTTTAAACTGGTTTTTTCTGGGGGGCACAGGACGTGGTGAAGCAGGTGCTCAGTGCCATCCGCGCCGTGGCCGGCAACGACGACGTGAAGGACGCCATCGTCGACGCCGGGGGCACCGACCTCATTGTCCTGGCCATAAGCCATCACCTGGCCAACCCTCAGGTACCACCTGCATGGCTGGGGAGTTCCCACTGGGATGGGAATGGCAGCTCCAGTTTGGGCTGCACGATGGAGCTTCAGTTTGGGGGCTGCAGCTGAGCGAGGAACAGACAGCTGTGGAGTGCACGCCGGGCAGTGTTTGTGTGAGGGGAAAGGTGTGTGCACTGTGTGTTGGGGGTTTTTTCTTAGGCCTGAATTAGGTGGCTGGAGTGGGTATTTACACCTCTGGGGCGTAAAACATGGTTGGAATTAAGGCTGGAGTTAAGGTTGGAACAGGCTGCCCGGGGCTGTGGTCGCAGCACCAAGGCTGGCAGAACCCAAGGAGTGTTTGGATGATCCTCTCAGGCTCAGGGTGTGACACCTTGGGGATGGTCCTGAGGATTGGATGGTCCTCGTGTGTCCCTCCCAACCTGGCATATTCTGTGACTCTGCAAAAGACTTCCAAGACCACCCAGTCCAGCTCGGTTTCCACACCAGAGCAGCAGGACGTTTCACTGGGGGGAAACTTAAAAAACCCCCACAAAACTTAAATTAAAAATCGCCACGAAAGGAAACCAAACTCCACTTTTGCTTGCCTGAAAGGCCTGTTTTCAGCCAGGTGAGCTTCTCCCCCTTTGCCTTGCAGATCTGTGAGCAGGGCTGTGCTGCCCTGTGCATGTTGGCTCTTCGGAAGCCCGAGAACTGCAGCGTCATCATGGAGGGCGGCGGGGCCCTGGCAGCACTGCAGGCCATGAAAGCACACCCTCGAGAAGTGGCTGTCCAGGTACGTGCCCCTGGGCACCTGGGGCTTTGGTCAGCACTGGGCTTGGCTGTGGTACCTCCTTCCTGGGGGTTTTGGACCTTTACTTGGCAAATTCCAGCGGGTTTTGGGTGTGTTGGCACCCTCTGTGTCTGGCACCGTGGTCTGATCAGAGCCAGGCTTAGTCTGGGTTTCAAAGCCACCTGGGTTCAGGTTCATAATTAATCAATTCAGGTTCATAAAGCTGTGGAATGCCCTGCTCCTCTTCCAGGCATTACTTTTTCCTCCCCTTTGAAAGGGCAGGTTGAGGATAAGCTCCTTCAGGCCCAGCCTGTGCCATCAATTCTACAGAGTCAAGTAAAACACCTGCATGTCAAGCAGTTTGCCTCTTGTTTCTCATGCAGGTCCTCAGTAGGTTCTGTGCCCGCTTTTGTGCTCCTCAGATTATTAAAAAACCCCAAAGAAAGTATTTTGTGAAGGGGAGGTTTAAACTCAGTGCCAGGGAAGGTGCCTGGAGCAGCACGGGAAGGGTGGGAGGGTGAGGCTGCTGCACTGGAGAATTCTTAGTGTTATTTATTTAAACACTAAGTATTAGTATTTAAATACTGAATATTAGCATTTTAAAGAACTAATTGGTATTCCCTGGCTGGTGTTTGAGATTTGCTGGTGTCCTGACAAAAGCAGGAGCTCTGGTTGTATAAACCTCAACAGGAAACAGCTTCCATACCTTTGTCCGTGGATTTTATTGTTCCAGGAAATAGTTTGTTGCTGCCTGCAGCATCTCAGTTTGGTTTCCTAGAAGAGATTCCTTAGGCTGGGAGCCAGATCCTGCAGGGCTGGTGTTTTCTGACCTCTCTCTCTCCCTGCCTTCTCTCCTCTCCAGAAACAGGCCTGCATGCTGATCCGCAACCTGGTCTCCCGGAGCCGGGACTTTTCCCAGCCCATCCTGGAGATGGGAGCTGAGAACCTGATCACAGAGGCTCGTGCTGCTCACAGGGACTGCGACGACGTGGCCAAGGCTGCCCTGAGGGATCTGGGCTGCAAAGTGGAGCTGAGGGAGCTGTGGACAGGCCAGAAGGGGAGCCTGGCCCAGTGAATCCTCCCCCGCTGGGGGGGGCTCTGAAACACCTCTGTACCTGGAGTCTTGAGAGCAGGAAAACAACCCCAGTGGCATGGATTAATCTGCACTGACACCCAGCTGGAATATCTGAAGCAAATGCCTGGCTTGGGAGGCTGCAGGGAACTTTTTCTTGGGAGCTACAGCTGCAAAGGCTTTGTGCATTCACAGGCTGCAACCCAACCCTGTGTCGTGATCGTTCCCTGGATCATCTAATGCCTGGAGATGATCTGCTCCCCCCTTAGCCATGTTCCTTAGCAGGCCAGGGCTGCTCCCACGGGCTCTGCTCGTGCAGGGAGAGCAGGAGGGGCTCATTCCTGGGCAGAGTTTGGTGCCGTGGCTGCTGCTCCCCGTTTGTCCCTCTGCTCGTGGGGCCTGGTCACGGGATGGACGAGGAGGAATCCTGGCAGTTGTGAACGTGTTCCTGTCCTGTTGTAGCTGTTCCCCTGTTATTTTACTGCTGACCATACCCTGTGTTGCTGCTTTGTTGGGGATTTTCAGCCAACCTAACGTTTTAAACAAAAGCCAAGTGAGGGTTTGGGGTGATGGGGCCCGGAGGAACATTCCCTGGGATGTTGCCTTTGGCATCCAGGAGGAAAGTTCCATGTTCTCCCTCAGTGGGGTGAGCAGGTCAGGGACTGGGAGTGGGGGTGGTAGTTTCCAAAGTAGGGAAGCAGGGAGCACTGGGGAGCCCAGGCTTTGTCACCTCTTAGCAGGGCAGCACTTCCCTGAACCCAGGAGTGCTCTAATTGTGGTGGAGAGGCAAAGGACCACATGGACTGAGGAAAACTGTGGATTTGGGGGCAAAACAGGCCCCAGAAAGGCTCTGAAGTCTCAGCTAAAGGCTTCTGTGTTTTGCTGGGCTGTGTTACCAGCCCTGCTCTGGTGCTGAGCCTTCCTTTTGTGCTGCTGCTGCTCTTGTGTGTGAGTGGATGTTTTTAACGTGGTAACTCTCTGTAGAAATGTTGACCCTATAAAACATGGAAACTTCCAAGGGTGGTTGGCTCTTTATGGAGCCTTTTCGAGGCAGGAAAAGAAAGGTGGTGGAAAGGCCTCTGTGCTGAGTCTGGAAGTAAAGCCTCCTGCAGCCCTGTGCTGTCTCTGCCAGCAGATAGCAAAGGTCACTGTGTTCTTCAGAGGTTCCTACCCTGTTTTTTGGGGGAGGAGAGGCTGCCCTGGCTCCTCTCTGCCTGCTGGGGGAAGAGCCTGGGGGGGTTTTTGCACTACTCTGACCTCCAGGTGAACGTGTCCCCCTTCTTTGGGGCAGAGTGGGCACAAAAAGAGGATTAAGAGACCCTGAGCTCCCGAGTCCTTGGGGTGCCCCGTGTTTGGGAGAGACTGGACACTCTGGGGAACATGTTTGGTGCAGCCTGGGGCTCCTGCTGGGTCTGGGCTGGGGGAAAAGCAGCAGGAGAATCAAACGTGGGGTTTGCCCCACGGGATTTACTCCTCGTCCCCTTTAAGCAGGTGCTGGTGTAACCGGTGTACCTGCAGCCCCCGGGGGTGAACCGGGGCCGGGCAGGACAGCGGGGCTGGGGGCAGAGCCGGGCGGGATCCCCGCGGGGACTGGGCGGGATCTCCGGGCGCTCCCCGGGGCAGGTCGGGGGATCCTCGGGCTCTCCTCGGTGGGACAGGGCAGGATCTCCGCTCTGACCGATCTGACCGCGGTGTCCCTGGGCGGGATCTCCCGGGGTCTCTCGGGTCTGTCCTCGGTATCCCCAGTCCGTCCCCGGTCTGTCCCCGGGATCTCCGGGCTGTCTCTCCGGTCACTCCCCGGTATCCTTGCCCCTCTCCAAGCTCTCCCTGCTGTGCCTGGGCGGTATCTCCGGGGGTATCTCCGGTCCCTCCCCGTTCTGTCCTCGCTCTATCCCCGGACGATGTCCCCGGTCTGTCCCCGCTCTATCCCCGGGAGGTGTCCCCGCTCTCTCCCCGGGCTGTCCCCGCTCCGTCCCCGCCGCCCCGGTTCGGCTGCCGCACGCCCTGCCCAGCTCGCGTCTGCCCCGCCCTTTCCGCTCGATTGGGCCGCGCTTCCGCCGCCATTCCGCGGGCGCGCAGGCCACTCCGCGCGCGCCGCCCGGCCCTCCCCGCGGTGATTGGCCGCGCGGCGGGCCGGGCCCCGCCTCCCGCGGCGCAGCGGGGGCGGCCTGGCGGCGGCGGCCGAGGCGGAGCGGAGCGGAGCGGGTGAGTGCGGACGGGACCGCGCAAACGGGCAGGGGGCCGGGACGAGGAACCCGCAGGCGGGCGGCTGACCACCACCCCGGCCGCACATCGCCGTGACCCAGCGGCGGGCGGCCCGGCCGTGCGGCGGCGCGAGCACCGGGTGAACATTGGCGCGGCCTCCCGCGGGGTCACCCCGTGCCCGGCCCGGCCCCGCGGGCTCCGGCCTGTCCGCCGCAGGACCCGCCCGGGCGCCCGGCAGCTCGGGGCAGCGGCTGGAGCCGCGTCCGGGCCGGCCTGAGCTGCGGGAGAAGCGGCTCGGACGAGCCTTAGCGGGGCGGCGGCACCGCGGCGATGGCCGGCCGGTAACGCTCCCTGCCTGCCCGGCCTTGCCTTGCCCTGCCTTGCCTGCCCCGACTGCCCTGCCTTGTCCTCCCTCCCTGCCTGCCCTGCCTTGCCTGTCCTGCCTTGCCTTCCCTCCCTGTCCTGCCTTGCTTTGCCTTCCTTCCCTGCCTTGCCTTCCCTTCCTTTGCCTACCTTCCCTCTCTCCTCCCTACCTTTCCCAGCCCCTACTTGCCCCAAGCTGCTTCCCTTGCCAGCCCCCCTGCCTGCCCGGGCCAGGGCCCGTCCCCCTGGCCCACCTCCTGCCCCCAACCTGCCCGTTCCCACCTGCCACCTCCCCCCTTGCCAGCCTGTGCCCTCTCTCAGGTGTGGGGTGTCTGTGTCGAGTTTTCCGGCTCCTCTTCCCTTCCAAGTCTCCCGATCAGAGCTGGGCTCAGCCAAGCTCAGCTCCACGTGCCCGGGGGGATTTGGGTCCTGTTAAGTTGCTCTGAACCTGGAAAGGAGGCAAAGTGTTGTGTCTGTGCTGAGGGACAGGTACCAGGGGGCACAGAGTGTGTTAAACACAGATCCCCCCCTGCCTCCTGCTTCTCCCACTTCAGCACCAGCAAAAACTTGCAGAGCAGGGGGAGACTTCCCTACTCTGCCTTCAGAGGTGGGGGTGGAAGGATTGAGTTTAAATTGTGATGTCAAAAACCAGGTGGGAAAGGCTGGAAGTGCCTGTGCAGGGTTAATAAACGAGGTCCCACCTTCTCGGCTGCCTGTGAGCCTGGAACTCCCTGTTCCAGCAGAGCAGTTGCTGTGCTGACCTTAAACCTGGGCTCCCCTGAGGCCTGGAGGCGCTGGAGATGTGTCTGTGTGCCTTGGAGACGTGTTTGTGTGTGGTTTTTCCTGCTGGCTGGGGATTCAGGGTGGGTTTGGAACCTGCTGTCGCTCTGCTCTGGGTTCTGCTGCTGCTGCTTCGCTGCCGAGCTCTCTGGGGGAGGTTGTTTTGCTCCTCCCGGTGTTGTTTTCCTGCGGTCTGATGGATTTTGGAGTGTTTTGGAAACATCCTGGGGTTGAAACGACTCCTGGTTGGAGAAGGGTGTGTGTGTGAAGGAACAGAGGAGACGTCTGTGGGTGTTGGAAACCAGCTGAGGAAGGAGAGACTGTAATAAAGGTACCAGAGGGTTGGTACAACCACACCAACAACCTGTGGGTTGAAGGTGTTTAAAAATAACCTGAGTGTCTAAAACACCAGGGCTGGATTCTGGGGAGCTGAGCATCTTTACACCCTCCTGGAGCTGTGGGTACTCAACACTTGCTTTTCTTTTCCCCCAGCGAGTCAAAAGGATTGTTCAGGACCTCTGGATGTGGGTGCTGAGGAGAGGGGGGACTGGGGCTGTCCTTGGTGTTGGATTTCAGCAGGAACTCTGGCCCCAGTGATTGCTTCAGACAAGGGAATTTTGGCCTCTGATAACCCCAGAATATGAGTCAGGAGCTGCAAGAATTGGGTTTGTTTTTTCCTTTGAGCTGGAGCTCTGCCTTGTGAGGGCAGGTTTCAGGTGTGCCTGGTGTGTTCAGCCTCACTCCACCAGGTTGCATAAAACAGAAAACCCCAGCCCTGAGCCTGTGGTTGCCTGGGCTTGGGTACAGGTCAGACAGGTTTGGAGAAAAAACCTTCAGGAACCAGGAATGATTTTCTTCGAGCAACTTTGCTGCCAGTGACAGGAAAGTTCATTCAGCTTTGCCCTTCCCCTACAACCAACACCAATTTTTCACCCTGTGGTGCCGTTTTCCAGGTGATCCATCAATATTCCTGGGCTTGGGAAAGGGTGTTACATTTTGTCTGGACTGGAGAAGGTGACTGAGATGCAAAGCCACCAAATAAATGAGGTTTTAAGGAGCTCTTTGCTCTGTGGCTGTGCTTTAAATCTGCTGCTCCCTGTTGTTGCCCAAAGGTGAAGGTCTGTGTTGGTGCTGCTGGGCCTGAGTTACCCCCCCAAAATAACCCAACTGAGCTGAAACCTGCAGCGTTTTGGCTGAGCAGAGGTGATGCTTGACTTTAAATCCTGCCAAAGTCAAGGCAGAGTGAGCACAACACACACTGAGGGGGCAGCTCCTGATCTCTGGAGCTCCACCAGGGTGGAAATCCTTGCCCTGAGGGAATGGCACCTTCCTGGCACAGCTGTGGCTCATCCTGCTTCCTGATGGAAGATCTTAATTCCTTATTTTTCCTTACTTATTTTTCTGCTGGGGGGTTTTAGAGCAGAGACTGTGTGCTGAAGTAGTTTTATATTTTATTGTGGTTTCCTCCTGGTGTCACCTTGGAGGAGGGGTTTCTGAGGGGTGTCCAGGCTGAGGGGTTGTGGGATGGGTGGCTTGTTTTCCTGCCTTCTCCTGGAGCCAGGGAATTGCTCCCTGACCCGGGGAGTGGGTTCAGCCCCCTCCCTGGCTGGAGGGCTCTGCCCTCCCTCAGATAAAGCTGCTTTCTGCCTGGCAGATAAGAGCAGCTCTCCAGCTTTTGGCTGTGGAAAACCCAGCTGAGGTGTTCCCAGCAACAGGCTCCTCTCAGCAGCTGAAGAATGAAAGCTCTGTCTCTCCTTGCCAAGATTCCCTCTGTTCTGGGGCTCCTTCCCAGCTCTGTTCAAAAACACCAGGCCCCAGGAATAATCAGCTGCCTTTTTTTTCTTGCAGGGCTTCGGGTTTAACCATTTCCCAGTGCCCTAATTCGGGTCAGATCGTCCAAAAAACCACGCCAAGAATTCGGATCTTTGTCCCGGGTTTTTGTTGGCAGGCCTGGGGTTTCTCTCAGGGGAAGGGTTTCTTTTAAAGCTGAGGAAGGCTGGAAGAAAATTAAACTCTTCCAGATACTGTAATTTAGGGAGTCTTTCAGGCAGTGATTCCCTAAAAATAATTCCAGTGGTTTCTGTCCAGGCCTTTAGGGGAAGGGGAGCTCTGGACTGTTCCCAGCTGATGTTTTGGGGCTGGATTTGTGTGTGAGGAGATGGATGTGACTGAGGAGAGCTGGGGCTGCAGGGCACCCCTGGGCTTGATTTTTAACAGCTTAATCAAACTGGAAGGCAAAGATGGACCTCAAGGGCCCATCTGGTTGGAGTTCATCCCGTTCTGAGCGTTTCAGCCCTTTTTTTCCTGTGATTTTCTGTGGTGCTTTTGCTCCAAGGGTGATTTTGAAGCTGCAGTAATCTCAGTTTTTACCACATCTCTCTCTCTCTCTCTCTCTCTCTCTCTCTGTCAGACTCAATTGCTCAATTTAACAACAACAATTGAAGGGAAACCTAATTGAGCAACTTCCCTGGGTCACTTCAGCCTGCCTGGGAAAATGTGTGAACCCTCCTGCAGGAGCTCTCTGGGTTTTCTCCTTCTTTGCTAATTTAATTACGTGCTTTCATTAGCCACGTTAACGACATAATAAACAAAAAAAAAAAAAAAGGAGCTGGATAACTGAGCAGTGAGGGCAGCTGGAATGTCTGAATGGAGTTGTACAAGGGGGCTTTTTACCTGACTGAAATGGAGATGATGCCCCAGAGGTGAACTGTGGCTGTGAGCTGAGAGTGGGATGTGCTGCTGCAACGACTCCCAATTACTCCGTTTAAAAAGCCTTTAATTTTCTGTCTGTGCCTTGTTTTTTTCTCCCCTCAGCCCCAGTTTCTCCTGAATACAGTGAATTTTGTGAGCATCAGGGCCACAGCTTTGCCATTCCCTGTCACGGGGCTCGGGACTATTTCCATGGTTCCCTCTGGGGTTGTCAGGAGGGAAAAAAAAGCAAATATTTCTCAGCAAACAGCTGCTGGTGCTCTTTGCTTTGCTCTACTTTGCTTTGCTGGGGAGATGATAATTCCCTCAGAAATCTCAGGGCTTTGGGACAGGTCTAAATTCCACCAGGGAGCATCAAACAAACGTCTTTTCCAGTGGTCAAGGAATTGTTGAAGTTGGAAAAAACCCCTCAAGAACAATTATAACAAATATCATTGTAAAGCATGGTTAGAAAAATATGGTGGGGAAAATATGGTTAGGAAAATATGGTGGGGAAAATATGGTTTTAGTGCCCAGGTGCTCCCAGAGCTGTTGGAACACCGGGATAGACCTGGAAAAGCCACCCCAGGCAGAGCTTTGCCATCCCAATATCCTCAATTTTCTGGGGTGCTGAAGGGGAGGAGGGGCCTGAGCTTCCCTATTTTTTTCCCCAGTTTGGGAAATCTTTAATCTGTGTTGACCCAGGCAGTTTATTCTGCTGGATGTGCAGGAACTGCTTTGCCCTGTCCATAAATTTTGGTGTAAAAGCACGGAGTGTGTTACTCATTAAACCCCTTTAACTTCCAAACTCCCTTTTGCCAGCAGTTTTTCCTGCCTGATTCCTGAGGGGAATGGTTTGCTCTGCCCTGGGGATCCAGATGTGTGACAGGGCCTTGTGTAACTCCCATCTAAATAACCCAGTGGTGTGTCATAAAAAAAATTACATCTAATCCACAGCTTTTTTTTTTTCCCTGGTTGCCTGTGGCTTTGTAAACACAGGGAATGGCTGTGCTGGGAGCAGGATGAAACACAGGGATTTAAAAAAAAATACCCACATGGCTTTCAGTGGATTACTTAATGAGCCAGTCAGGGTGATACGTGTGCAGGATGATGTTACAAATTCACCCCCAAAACTTTAAATTCACCCTTCAGATTTGAACCTGACCTTTGTTCTGTGTGGCTCCAGTAAATGTGCATTATTGGTCAAAATAACCCCCTGGCATCAGAGCCCAAAATAAAATACAGCTGCCTGTATTTTTTGCTTTCCTTCAGCAGAAAATAATAAATAAATGCTATTTTTACCTCGGAGCCTCTGCATGTTTAGAGCCTGTGTTTCTGCAGAGCCATGGGGGCAGTTTAATGTGTAAAACTGGGCATATAACAGGTGTTTGTGAGCTCAGGGCACTAAAAATAAGAGAGGGGCATGTCTGAGTGGGCTGAAAGACAATATGGTGGGGTGAATGCATCTCATCCCTGTCCCAAAATAAAGTCAAGGGCTTAACATCAGGTCTGCAAATCCCCTCTCAGGCATCTCTTTCTCAATCAATCTTTCAAAGAAAGTTGTGTTTTGCATCCCTAAGCCCTTCAGCACGATTTCTATTTTTGGGGGGTGTGGGGGGTGTGTGTGTGTCTGTGTGTTATTTTTGGCAGAGATAAATCTGATATCCTGACCTACATTCCTTTGTTGGAGCCAGGCAGGGGAAATGTCTCCACCTGTGATTTCTTTGGTGCCTTGGCTGAAAGGCTTTATTTCATTTTACAATGAGTTTTCCCAAGCAGGGGAGATGAGAGGGAGTGAGAAGGGGAGGGAAATGACTGCAGGTAGCAGTGAGAAATAATTAACTGCTCTTCAAAATAATTAAGTGCTCTGCTCTGCTGTGTCATGGGATCATCCCTGGGCTTGATCCTGGAGGGAGTTTTTGTTCCCAGGGCCAAACTTCTGCGAGGGAACCCTCTGGGTGCCAACACTGCTGATGTTTGGGTTGTGTCAGGTGTTATTTCTTGTTCAAATTTGGAGTTATTGCTCTCTGAGAGACACCTTTTTTTTTTTGGAAAACCCCCTCAGGAGCTGGAAACACGTGGGTTTGTGTCTTCCCAAAGCTCCAGCAGGGGAAGGGGAGCTTCAGGGTGACCTGATTGTGGCCTTCCAGGACCTGAAGGAGCCAACAGGAAAGATGGAGAGGGATTTTGGGCAAGGAGTGGAGTGACAGGACGAGAGGGAATGGCTTTTCCCAGCGCCAGAGGGCAGGGAGAGGTGGGATATTGGGAAGGAATTCCCCCCCTGGGATGGAATTCCCAGAGAAGCTGTGGCTGCCCCATCCCTGGGAGTGCCCAAGGCCAGGCTGGAGCACCCTGGGATAGTGGGATGTGCCCCTGCCCGTGGCAGGGGGTGGGAATTGGATGAGTTTTAAGGTCCTTCCAGCCCAAACCATCCTGGGATTCTGGGATGTTTGGCATTAAAGGTGCCCAGGGGTGTTTGTGGATCCCTCATCCCAAACTGGTGATGCAGGAGCTGCCTCTGCTTTGCCTTTGATATCTGCTGGAGAGGGAAGGGTGGCACTAATTTATGGGAGACACGAGGGAGGGAAAAAAAAAATAGGTCAGCAAGTCTGAAAGGTGCTGACAAGCATAAAATACCTGGAGATTGTTAAAAAGGAGGGGAAAAAAAAGGAGCCTGAAGGTGGTTTTTCCAAACCAGGCATCAGAGGGAGCAGGAGTGAAGTGACTTGCTGGGGGACAGGATCTGTTTGGGAATTCAGATTTCCTGAGAGCACGTTCCTGGGAAGGAATCCAGGGTGTCACTGAGGCTGTTGGAACAGCTTTGTGGCTTGGAAAACTGCTCCCTGTTGTCACAGACCCTTCTGTGAAGGGGTTCACCACCTCTCTGTGCTGCCCCAGGGTTTTTCCAGCTGCAGCTCTTCCCATTTCTGGAGATTTAAAAATTAAAAAAAAAATTAAAAAAAAAAAAAAAAAAAAAGGCAACTGCGTGGTGCAAAAAAATCGCCCTGTAAAAAGCAGAAATATTAGAAATTTAAAGCTAAAAACAAGTGAAAAGCTTCTCTTTAAAAGCATTCTCTCTGCATCTACACTCTGCAGCTCCAACTGGCCGGTATTTCTGCTTTTTATGGTGCAGCTGTGAGGAGAGGGAGCCCTAAAATCACTGATGTGCTGCTTCAGGTTGGATCCCTGGTGTCGTCAGAACAGCCTTTCTGGCACGTGTGAGCCACTGGATCTCTCTCTTCCCTAAAATAACCTCCACTTGCTCCTGCCAGGATTTGGGCACTTGCTCCTGGGACTGGTTTTTTTTCCCCCCCTTTTTCCAGGGCAGGGGGTTTAAATTTCCACAGCCCCCCTCCAATGTCTGGTTGCTCAGCAGTGAGATATCAACCAGAATCCTGCCTGTAAGAGGACAGGGCAGGGCCTGACCCTTCTCCCTGGAAATGAGGGATGTTTTGGTGGTGTTGCTTGCAGCTGAGTTCCCCTTGGGGTGGAAAGGGTGGATGTGATGGACACAGGTTTGATGTGGCACCAAAGTACCCCCCACACATCCCTTTACACCTTAAAGGAAGGGAATTGCACGAGGATCCTGGAAATGCTCTTCCCTTGGGAGCTTGGAGAGGGGTTTCCTGCTGGAAACAGCCCTGGGAGCGTGTCAGTCCTTCCTGTGCTTTCACTACCTGGATAATTCCCTATTTTTGACGCTTTTCCTTGGTTTTTATTCCCCCATGTAGGAGCCAGAACTCTTCTGCCCCTTTGGAAGTGTGACTGGTAATGGGTAATGGTGTGAGAGAGGGTCCAGTGGAATTCCCAAAGGATGTGGAGCCAGTCACAGCAGCCCATCTCCCAGCAGAGGTGAGAGCACGAGGGGCTGGGGAGCCAAAAGCAGCGTGGGAAGGAGGGGAAGGGATTGATTCTGAGCCCCCACCTGGAATCCTGCATCCAGCTCTGGGGTCTCCAGCACAGGAAGGACGTGGAAGCTGCTGGAGAAAACCCAGAGGAGGCACCAAGAGGATCAGAGGGCTGGAGCAGCTCTGCTGGGAGAGCTGGGATTGTTCAGCCTGGAGGAGAGAAGCTTTGGGGTGACCTGATTGTGGCCTTCCAGGACCTGAAGGGGCTACAGGAAAGATGGAGAGAGACTTTGGAGAAGGGCCTGGAGTGCCAGGACAAGGGGGAATGGCTTCAAACTGACAGAGAGTAGGGTTGGAGGGGATATTGGGAAGGAATTCTTCCCTGGGAGGGTGGTGAGGGACTGGGATGGGTTTCCCAGAGAAGCTGTGGCTGCCCCATCCCTGGAAGTGTCCAAACCCAGGATGGGGCCTGGAACAACCTGGGCTGGTGGAAGCTGTCCCTGCCCGTGGCAGGGGGTGGCACTGGATGGGTTTTCATGTCCTTCCACCCCCAGGCAGCCTGTGATTTGAGCTCTGGGGTGCTGGCAGAGCTGCAGGGCGTGTGCCAGCCCTGGAATGTGTAACCTGTGTTCCTCTGGGGAGAGCCAAGAGTTTCCATCCCCCTGGGAAGAGGCATCACTGGCACTGCCAGGCAGGGCTGGGTTCCCTTGTTGTGTCCTGCTGGCAGAGCTGGGACCAGGGCCACGAGCCTGGCTGTCCCTGCTCCTGCTGCTCCTGCTGCTCCTGCTGCTGGATTCACTGGAAACCCTGGAAGAGGAGGGGATGCTGAACCTTGGTCTGGTTTAGCCCCAAGCTCAGGCTGAAGTTCACCTTCACGTGGCTGCCCTTGCCTTCAGCCCCGGCCAGGCAGAGATGGGAGGGCAAATCCAGGGGTTTGGGCAACAAACATTAACTTTTTTAGTTGTGAAACGCTCTGAGAAAAAGGGAGATGTTAACTCCTCTTCTCCACAGCCACACAGAGCGTGTCAGAAGCTCACAGTAAGCCTGGTGTCACAGTCTGGAGCCTCCACACTGTTGGATTTCATTTACTTGCTCCCTGTCTGTGTGTTGGGAGAAAAGGGCTGCTTTATAAACATGAGCTGGGGCAGGAATGCCAGTAACAAACCCACTGCCATCCCATTCAGCAGAGCAGGAAACCTGCCTGGTTTTATCCTTGGGATAAAACAGGGCTGGGGTGTTACTGGGAGAACCTTGGGGAGAAATGGTGGTGAGGGAGTGGCTGAGCTCTGAGAAGGAGAAATAACAGAGAGGAGGTAGGAGGTGGCAGGTCTTGGAATTTTGCTTGCTGATCTGCTCAGGAATTCACTGTGCTAGAAATTTAGGAAAGCATTTTGACCCAAATCCTGGAGAAAGGGGGGGGTAAAAGCTGCAGTAGAGGTGAAGTGTTATTCCTTGTGCTTTGTTCCAGGATAACCAGGAGAAGAAGAAAGTGCTCAACTCCCTGATGTCTGGTGCACTGGCTGGTGCTGTTGCTAAAACTGCAGTGGCTCCCCTGGATAGGACAAAAATCATGTTCCAAGGTGAGTCCTGTGGGCTTTTCCAAAAATACTCTTAATTCTTGTTGGCAGGACCCAAAGCAGCACCCCTGACCTGCTCAGCCAGCCTGTTCTCCAGTGCCCCAAGGGGAACAGGAGGAGCTGTGGAGGCACTGGAGGCAGGGAATGGAGGGGTTGGAGTTTCCTGCCCCTGAGTTGGTTTGGGGGGAGCTGAAGTTAGTGATGGAAATACTGCAAGAGGCACTGGAGCTGCATCTCTGGGTTTGTGTTGCAGAGCCCTCCTTGGAACCCCTGAACTGTGGAACAGAAAGTGAAATTCATGTGTTTGGAACAGAAAATTGCCAGGTGTTCAGCAGGATTTGGGATTCAGCCCCGTCCTGGGCTCTGTTTGGTCCCCCTGTCCCAGTGCAGGGACTGAATTAGCTCCACTAATTATCCCAGAGGGATAATTAACAGCACAGGCTGTTGATTGAGGAGACATTTGGTAAAGGCAGGAATTTTAAAGCTGGTTGACGTCCCAGATCAACTGAATTGGGTGGGTTTAATCTGATCCCTGGCTGACATTTAATTTGGGATTGGCTTTCATTTGATGTGATTTTCCCTGTGGACAGGGAGGGCTGAGGGATAGCAGGGCTGTGGATCAGGGGGATTAAAACCTGGGCTGGGATTGCCCCTGGGAGCAGATGCTGGTGCAGCAGGGAGGACATGCTCTGCTCTCCCACCACAGCTCACCCCCTGGTTCATCCCAGCTTGGAGATGTGGGATGGAACCACAGGACTGGGCTGGGTCAGCAGCTGACCCGAAATCCCTGGAATTCAGACAGGCCACGTTTATAAAAATACCTGTTTGCTTTGGCCCATCCCACTCACTGCAAAGGATGTGATCCAAATGTTCCCATTTGAGCAATCTCTTAGTTCCTGATGGATATTTTAGCTTCTTGCTCTTCCCTGTCCGAGCAGGGGCAAATCACCTTTGGGGTATTACCTGGATATTTCCTATTTTTGACACTTTTGCTTTGGGTTATTGAGTGGAGGAAGGTTGTCCCTTAAGTAGAGACTGAAAAATGGGGCTCTGAGCAACCTGGAAAGATGGTCTTTAAGGTCCCTTCCAACCCAAATCCTCCTGGGCTTCCACAATTCTCTGAATTTTCCTGTGGCAGAGGGAGAAGAACTGCTTCTTTTCCATCACAATTGTGTTTATTTCTGAAAAAAAAAAACCCAACCAAAAGTGATGAATGGCATAAAGGAGCAGGGTGGTGAAAATGCATTTGCATGTGATCCTTGGATGCACTCGAGGGGTTCCAAGTCTCAGATGAGTGAGGGAGAAGCTGCAGCAGCTGCTTAATTGGGCCCACGTTTGGTTTGGAGCCTGGGCATGGAAATGCTCTGCTGAAATATTGGGGTTTGAATTAATTTTGTGTTTATTCCTTTGTTTCAGTGGCGTGTGGCACGAACTGAACGTTTTCCTCACTCCTGTGCTGGTTACCAGTGTTAAGCCCTTATTATAAAACAATCCCTGCTTCCTCCTGCATTAATTCTTTTGCTTCTCTTTTTATCCCTCAGATAAAACACCTGTATGGTTTATTTATGGGCCAAATGTTTATTTATATTTGATCCATCTAAATGTGTTGCAAGACCTAATGTTCCTTTTTTTGTTGTTTTTTTTTCCCCTCCTTTTAGTGTCTTCAAAAAGATTTTCTGCCAAGGTGAGGTGTTGTGTCTTGTCTGCTGTTGCCCTGAAGTGTTTGATTAATGGCAGTAATAGCTCCAACTGCATCTTTTGTTTGCCTTTTTTTTTTTTAACTTTCTTGCTTGGGATTTATTAGGAGGACTCAGTGGAAAGCACAGAGGGGAAAGACTGGGAGTAATCTTGTTTATTATAGGGCAGTTTTTAATCAGATTGTTGGTGGCACAGAGGGGCTCAGTCCTTGCTCATGCTCTGGGTTTTACCCAACATTAAGTGTGACATCACTCAGGGCTTGTTTTTGGGACCTTCTCTGGTGATTTTTTTGCTTTCCCCCCCACCACCACAGGGTGGCCAACAGGGCCAGGGAAGTGATTCTTGCCCTGGACTCAGCACTGGTGAGGCCACCCCTGGAGTGCTGTGTCCAGTTCTGGGCCCTCAGCTCAGGAAGGACATGGAGGGGCTGGAGCAGGTCCAGAGGAGAGCAACGAGGCTGGGGAAGGGACTGGAGCACAAGTGCTGTGAGGAGAGGCTGAGGGAGCTGGGGGGGCTCAGCCTGGAGAAGAGGAGGCTCAGGGGAGACCTCCTCACTCTCTGCAACTCCCTGACAGGAGGGGGGAGCCGGGGGGGGTTGGTCTCTTTTCCCAGGCAACCATCAGCAAGACAAGAGGGCTGGGTCTGCAGCTGTGCCAGGGGAGGTTTAGGTTGGATATCAGGAAGAATTTCTTTGCAGAGAGGGTGCTCAGCCATTGGAATGGGCTGCCCAGGGAAGGGGTGGATTCTCCATCCCTGGAGGTGTTTAAGGACAGACTGGATGTGGCATCAGTGCCATGGGCTGGGAACCACAGCGGGGTTGGATCAAGGGTTGGGTTGATGATCTCGGAGGTCCCTTCCAACCCAGCTGACCCTGTGATTCCATGGTTCTGTGCCAATCACCCCTTCCCCCGGGGTTTTTCGGATCACCCCACGTCCTGCAGGAGGCTTACAGGCTCATCTACCGCACCTACCTCAATGAGGGCTTCTGGAGCCTCTGGAGGGGCAACTCGGCCACCATGGTCCGCGTGGTCCCCTACGCCGCCATCCAGTTCTGCGCCCACGAGGAGTACAAGCAGCTCCTGGGGAGCTACTACGGCTTCCAGGGAAAGTAAGGATGAGGGAAGGGCGGGGAGCAGCCTGGAGGGAGGCAGCTCTGGGCAGGGCTGCTGCCCCCGGGGGGGGAGCTCTGTTGGCACAGGGCTGTGCCAGCCCCTCTCGGGGTGGTGTGCTTAAAGAACAGTGTGCTGGGGGGCAAGGGAAGGATGGAGTCAGGAACAGGGTGTTTGGGGGATTAATGGGAGGATGGGGTCAGGAATGGGGTGTCTGGGGGGCTAAGGGAAGGATGGGGTCAGGAACAGGGTGTTTGGGGGATTAATGGAAGGATGGGGTCAGGAACGGGATGTGTGGGAGGCCAAGGGAAGGATGGGGTGAGGAACAGGATGTTTGGGGGCCCAAGGGAAGGATGAGGTGAGGAACAGGGTGTTTGGGGGAGGCAAGGGAAGGATGGGGTCAGGAACAGGGTGTTTGGGGAGGCAATAGAAGGATGGGGTCAGGACTGGGGTGTTTGGGGGCAGGCAGAGCAGGGATTTGGGAGCAGGCAGAGCAGGGATTTGGGAGCAGGGAGAGCAGAGCCATTCTCCAAAGTTTTTCCCTGTCCAGGTGATGTGTTTGGTCTGTTCTGTCCCCTCCTGCAGGGCCCTGACCCCCTTCCCTCGGTTCATTGCTGGCTCCCTGGCGGGCACCACGGCTGCCATGGTCACCTACCCCCTGGACATGGTCCGTGCCCGCATGGCTGTCACACCCAAGGAGATGTAAGTCCTCACAACAACCCCTGCAGCCACCACCACAGTGCACAGCTTTTGGCATTTTAAGGTCAGGTACCTTTTTTTCTGATTTTCTGGATCTTTTTTTTATGGTCAGATACCTTTATTCCCAATTTTCTGGATCTTTTTTTTTAAGGTCAGATGCCTTTATTCCCAATTTTCTGGATCTTTTTTTTTAAGGTCAGATACCTTTATTCCCAATTTTCTGGATCTTTTTTTAAGGTCAGATGCCTTTATTCCCATTTCCTGGCTCTTTTTTTTTTTTTTTTAAGATCACATGACTTTATTCCCATTTTCTGGATTTTTTTTTCCAAGGTCAGATGCCTTTATTCCCATTTTCTGTGTCTTTTTTTTCCAAGGTCAGATGCCTTTATTCCCATTTTCTGGCTCTTTTTTTTTAAGATCACATGACTTTATTCCCGTTTTCTGTATTTATTACTTTTTTTTAAGGTCAGATGCCTTTACTCCCACTTTCTGGATCTTTTTTTTTTTAAGGTCAGATGACTTTATTCCCGTTTTCTGGGTCACTTCTTGCTCAGAGCCTTTGGTGCAATAAACCTCTTATTGCTGGGGCTCTGAGCACTGACCTGGAAGGAGATGGATACTGGGAGACCTCACTGCTGGAAACTCTGTGTTGGTTCTTTAGGAGACCACTTGGTGCTTCCAGAAAGATCCAGCAGGCAGGACACAAGTGGTGGAAGGGCCAGGATTGGTGTCTGTGTTTGCTGCTGAAATCCCTTCTGAGCTGTCTGATGAGCTCAGGGCCCAATTAATTAATTGCTGATCCTTCAGAAAGTGCTGCTGGGAATATTTCCTGGGGTTGTGCAGCCTCTGAGCAGCACAGCTGTGCTCTCCCTTTGCAGGTACAGCAGCATTGTCCACGTCTTCATCCGGATATCCCGGGAGGAAGGGCTGAAAACCCTGTACAGGGGGTTCACCCCCACCATCCTGGGGGTCATCCCCTACGCTGGGCTCAGCTTCTTCACCTACGAGACGCTGAAGAAAGTCCACGCAGGTAAAGCTTTGCTTTCTGGGGGAGGCTTTGGGGCCAGCTCCAGGTGTTTGGGTTGAGGGGGTGCAGGTAAAGGTTTGGGGGAGACTTGGGGGCCAACTCCAGCTGTTGGAATTGGGGGGGGGCAGGTAAAGATTTGCTTTTTGGGGAAGGGTTTGGGGCCAACTCCAGGTGTTTGGGTTGAGGAGGTGCAGGTAAAGGTCTGGGGGAGGTTTTGGGGCCAACTCCAGCTGTTGGAATTGGGGGGGGGCAGGTAAAGCTTTGCTTTTTGGGGGAGGCTTTGGGGCCAGCTCCAGGTGTTTGGGTTGAGGAGTGCAGGTAAAGGTTTGGGGGAGACTTGGGGGCCAACTCCAGGTGTTGGAACTGGAGGGGGCAGGTAAAGCTTTGCTTTTTGAGGGAGACTTGGGGCCAAGTCCGGGTGTTGCAATTAGGGGATGCAAGGAAAGGTTTGGGGGTGGCTTTGGGGCCAACTCCAGGGGTTGGAATTGGGGGGTGCAGGTAAAGGTTTGCTTTTTGAGGGTGGCTTTGGGGTCATCTCCAGCTGTTGGAATTGGGGGGGGTGCATTTTCAGGTAAAAGATTTGCTTTTTGGGGAGGTTTGGTGCCAACTCCACGGTGTTTGGTTGAGAGGTTGCAGGTAAGGCGTCTGGGGGAGGTTTTGGGGGGCCAACTCCAGCTGTTGAATTGGGGGGTGCTAGGTAAAGCTTTGCTTTTTGGGGAAGGGTTTGGGGCCAACTCCAGGTGTTTGGGTTGAGGAGGTGCAGGTAAAGGTCTGGGGGAGGTTTTGGGGCCAACTCCAGCTGTTGGAATTGGGGGGGGCAGGTAAAGCTTTGCTTTTTGGGGGGGAGACTTGAGGCCAGCTCCAGGTGTTGCAATTAGGGGGTGCAAGGAAAGGTTTGGGGCTGGCTTTGGGGCCAACTGCAGGTGTTGGAATTGTGGGGTGCAGGTAAAGGTTTGATTTTTGGGGGTGGCTTTGGGGTCATCTCCAGGTGTTGGAATTGAGGGGGTGCAGGTAAAGGTTTGAGGGAGTCTTGAGGCCAACTCCAGCTGTTGGAAATGAAGGGTGCAGGCAAAGGTTTGGGGGTGGCTTTGGGGCCAACTGCAGGTGTTTGGACTGAGGGCTTGCAAATCCTTTCCCTGCCCTTGGAGCCAGCTACAAAGTGGCTTGTGGAGCTTCAGGAGCCTCTTTACCTGCAGGAAACCCGTGTCTTGCAGAAGAAACCACAAGAAACCACAATTCCCGGGCGCGGGAAGGACTCGGGGCCCAAACCCCCGGGAGCGCCGGGTTCGGGCACTCCCTTTTCCAGCTTTCCCACCTTCTGCCCCTCTCTCCCTGGCAGATCACAGCGGGAAGGCCCAGCCCTCCCCTCCGGAGAGGCTGCTCTTCGGGGCCTGTGCGGGGCTCATCGGGCAGTCGGCCTCCTACCCGCTGGACGTGGTGCGGCGGCGGATGCAGACGGCCGGGGTGCTGGGCCACACCTACAGCTCCATCCTGCTCACCATGAGGGACATCGTCAGGGAGGAGGGACTCGTCAGGGGCCTGTACAAGGGCCTCAGCATGAACTGGGTCAAAGGGCCCATCGCGGTGGGAATCAGCTTCACCACCTTCGACCTGACGCAGATCCTGCTCCGCAAGCTGCAGCACGGCGGCGGGGAGGAGAGGTAGTGCCTGGACCCCCTCAGCCCCCGGCCAGGGGAAGAGCCCCAGACTGTGTAGAAAGAGCCCTCGCCTCGCCTGTGCCCTCCCACGGCTCCAGAACTCACCTGCCTTGGTTTGGGTTTCCTGTTGTTCCTGGATTTTTTTATTTTATTTTTTTTTTTTGCGTCCTTTTTTAACGACGCCCTCTCTCGAGTCCCTCGGAAACCTCCAAGGGCCCATCGTGGTGGGAATCAGCTTCACCACCTTTGACCTGCCACAGATCCTGCTCCCTGAGCTGCAGCACGTGGAGAGGTAGTGCTTGAACCCCCTCAGCCAGGGGAAAAGTCCCAAACCCTGTAGAAAGAGCGATGCCCTCCCACAGCTCCAGAACTCACCTGCCTTGTTTGGGTTTCCTGTCCTTCCTGGATATTTTTTTTTTTAATTTCTTTTTTTTTTGGTCCTTTTTAATGAGCCTCTTGAGTCCCTCGGATGCAGTGGGAATCAGCTTCACCACCTTTGACCTGCCACAGATCCTGCTCCCTGAGCTGCAGCACGTGGAGAGGTCGTGCTTCCACCCCCTCAGCCAGGGGAAGAGCCCCAAACCCTGTAGAAAGAGCAGTGCCCTCGTGCCCTCCTGCAGCTCCAGAACTCACCTGCCTTGTTTTGGGTTTCCTGTCCTTCCTGGATTATTTTTTTTTATTATTATTATTATTTTTTTTTGGTCCTTTTGAACGAGCCCTCTCGAGCCCCTCGGAAACCTCGACCCCGAACCAAATCCCTCCGACCCCGCAGAGCTGAGTCCTCCAAAGCAGCTGCCTCACCCCTTCTGCCTGACTCTGGTGCCAGGAGTGGAGCTTCCCAAACCCACCCGTGCTGCTCCCGCTCCCCCCTGGGCCCCCTGGGCAGAGGAGGCGGTGGGTGATGGAAGAGGGGACTCGGTGCTGTTGGAATGACCCCCTGGATGTGGGAAGCTCCTGGCAGGCAGTTTGGAGCTCCCAGAGCACGTGTGAGCTGGAGGCAGCCTGCAAAGTGCAATATTCCAGTCAGTCTGGAGGGAATTCCACGTGTTCCTGCGAGCTGGGAGCGTGCTCTCCACGGAGCAGGGCCGGGACACTGCTCTTGTCCTGGAAGGTGAATGTTTCTCTGCCCTTCTCCAGTTGTTTCTCTCACTTTTGGGTTGAGTTGCATAAATCCCCCTTGTTTGGGGTGTCCCTCTGAGATTACCAAAGACTGTGGACAGCAGGGGAGGGAAGTTCTGAGCCGTTTTGGGAATGGAATTCTCGTGTGTGTTGTCCTTGTTGTCGGGTCAGGGCTGGGCCTGGATTCCCAAACTGGATCACGTTCTGGGGCTGCCCAAACCCTTCCATGTTGTCCTGGTCTGGAGGCAACATTTTCCAAGGGATTTAACAGTGTTGATGCCCTAGGAGAGGGTGTTACATCCTTGCAGCTCAAGCAGTTTTATCCTTCAGTATTATTGTTGCTGCTCTATGCACCACGTGAGAACAAACACCTGACTTTGCTGTCCCCAAAAAAAAGCTGTCCCTGTGTGGTGGAACCAGCCTGGGAGCTGATTCCAGCTTCTGGCATTGCTTCTGAACAACCTTTTTGTCTTTTTGGTACCTGCTGTGTAGGTCGTGTCACCTCTGTTTGTTAATCCACATCCCACCTGCTTTCCCATTCCTAAAATTCTCCTGGACCAGCTTGGTCCTTGGGATTCTGGGCACCACAGCCAGTGCTGACCCTTCAGAAATGATCTATGTAGTGCCAATCACTTCCACTGGTAATTTGAAAATTAATGGTGAAGAAGCTTTTGGTGTTTCTATTTCAAATCAGTTTTCAGGGAAATGGAGATTTTGGGGGTGGGGTTGTTCTGTGATCCGTTCCTCTTATTAAATTTGGAGTGCAAGAGAGGTCAGAGCAAACTTCAGGCTTCCCTGAGAATCAGATTACCTGTACCAAGATAAAAAATCCCTCCTTAGCCCTGCACAGTCCATAATGTATAGAAGAAAAATGAGGCATAAATTAGAATCTGTCCTTTCCTGGTGTTTGCACTCCAGCTGTTGTAGCTTGAGCCTTGTGTCACGGATTAATGGGAATGGAGGGAATTGCACAGCTGGTAGAGGCAGCCTTCTCCTTTCTTTTGTCTTTGCACTTGTTCTTTGGAGCAGAAACTTGCTTCTGATGCCAAATATTTCCTTAGGAATCAAGCACCTCCACTTGCACGTTGTGGCCGTGGCCCAGGGCCAGCACACTGAGGTGTTAACAGGTTGTTCCCAGAGCTGGGATGGCCCAGACTTTCCTGGCTGGGTGTCAACCTCGGTAACTTCTGCCTCCAGGCCCAGAAATGGTGATTTGTGCATCCCTGGACTGCAGCCCCTGATCTGTGATGAGAGAACTGTCAGTTGGGGGGGTGTGAGAGCCCGTGGAGATGGCCCTGAGCTCTGGCTGTCCTGTGCTCCTGCTGCTGCCAGAAGGTGTTCTCAGCTCTTCTCCTCCCTCGGCTGAAGCTTTGCTCGGTCCTTGCAAGAGCTCCTGATTTCTTTTCTCCAATGGAGAAGCCCAATTATCCTGCTCTTGTCTCTCCCTTGTCCAGCCCGGGGAGGAAATCTTTGCTTCCCAGGCGTGTGAGCAGTTGTTTGTGTGTCTGTGTGTCCAATCCATGCCCATCCCCTCCCAGCCTGGACAGCTCCTTCCTTTCTGCACAGCCCTGGAGGAGGAGGAGGAGGAGGAGAAGCTGGACTGTGGCATCCAGGTTGGAGCTGCTTCCTTTGCTCCGTGGAATTAGTGGATCATCCCAGAGAATCACTGAACCCCTGTGGCCACAGAGGTGCTTTAACTCCTCCTGAGAAAGGATTTCCTGGGTGACTGGGAGCGAATGGGAGGGCAGATCTGCACAGGGAATCCTCTGCCCTGGCAGGAGTGCAGCCAGTGGATTGAAGTGGATGGGAATCCCCTGGAAGAGGCTGAGCCTGGAACCCCCCCCTCGCAGCCAGAACCTGGAGCTGAGGAACAAGCACAGCCAGACTTGGAAGCACTGGGCCAAGAGAAGTTGTTCCTTGAATTAGCAGCTGCACCTGATTGTAATTCAGTGGAATTTGAGCCAAACCTGTTTTTCCAAGTTGTGCAGGCTGAGTGTTTGTTCGGAGGCAGAGCTTTGGATTCAGTCCGGGGTGGGTTTGGTGCTTTTGTTTCTTGGGCAGAAGTGTTTGAAGTAACTGTGTGTTACTGCTTTGGGTTGTTTTTTTAATAGTGGGGGTGGGTTTTTTTTGTTCCTTTCTCTGATTTGAATGTAGAAAAGGAGAAACAGAGTGTTCTCTTCCCTTCTCTTATTCCTTGCATGAACTGAGACACGTTCCAGATCTCTCTGCTGCCTGGAATGAGGTGTCCTGCTTTGGGAAGGGGGTCTCTGTGTGCTGGCCAAGAAGGTCCTTTGCCTTTAGCCCTGAGAAAGGAGACAAGTCAAACAGGAATATCCTCTACTCCTTCTTTTCTTTAGAACTTCTTTGCTACTGCTGCAATTCCCCCGTTTCTCATTTCGTTCTCCTCAAATTGCTTTGGATTCCCGAGTCGGGTTTCCCTCCATTCCTTTAACGTGTTACAGCCAAGCAGGAATTTGTGCTTTTTTTCTCCCTCCCTCCTGCTTCTGCACCTTGAGCCCTGCACTAGCACTTCGAGAAAATCAGGTCCAATAAATGCATCCAAAATGACAAAACTGCAGCTCTCCGGCGGCGCCCGAACAGCCCGACCCCGTCCCCCCCTCGCAGGCCTCGGTGCTCCTGGGGGGGGCCAAGAACTTACAGGCACTGAGTGATGGGAAGGAAGGGGTTTTTTTGGAAGTTTTTTGTCCAGTTGAGCACCTTCCCTGTCCCAGCTCCTTCCCCTCGCAGGCCTCAGTGCTCCTGGGGGGGGCCAAGAACTTACAGGCACTGAGTGATGGGAAGGAAGGGGTTTTTTTGGAAGTTTTTTGTCCAGTTGAGCACCTTCCCTGTCCCAGCTCCTTCCCTTAAGGAGCTGAGATGCTGCTGCTGCTGCTCCGTGTCGTTTCCTCGCGGTACCTCCGAGGATGCCCCGTTTGCTCCCTGGGNGGTGGCACCGTGGTGGGAGGGTCGGGAGAGGAGTCCCGGCCCCCCGGGCTGGGCAGTGTGGGGCTCCCTGGGAGCCCTCCAGGAGCAGCTCCATAACTTCCTGTGGCACTTCCCTTTGCCTTCCACCTGGAAGGACTCGAGCACCATCTTCACCCTCTTGTCTTTTAACCCAAAAGCAGCTGAAAGGAGACTTTGAGCAGAGGTGACGTGGCAGTGCTGAGCGAGGCCGGTGCCAGTCCTGGGCGGGCAGGGAATGTGCTGGGATCCTTCCCAGGGAGATTCCCCAGTGCCTGACTGGGTTCCTGGGCTCTGCAGGTACTTCCCAGGTTCCTGGCTGGGTTCCTGGGCTCTGCAGGTACTTCCCAGGTTCCTGACTGGGTTCCTGGGCTCTGCAGGTACTTCCCAGGTTCCTGGCTGGGTTCCTGGGCTCCTCAGAGAGCTGGGGGTACATTCTGGGCTCTCCCCACCAGGACTGGGCCGGAGGAGGAGGAGGTGGCCTTCCTACAAAGCAGGATCTTTTGGGGCAGGATCTTTTTGGATCTTGTAGGGGCTGTTTCCTCCTGTTCTGTCCCCCCCTGGAATGCCATGCCCTGCAGGTTTTCCCAGCACTGCTCACTGCCTGTGTGGTCTATGCATTTATTAGCACAAACACTGTTAAAATGCCTTTTGTGTCCTCACCATCAGTGTGTGTGTGTGTGTGTGTGTGTGTCAATTTTGACTGCTTTTCTTGGATCTGGAGTTCTATTTTATTGCAGTGAAGACACTTTGTTATATATATAATGTTTATATATTTTAAGATTTGTGCCAAGAGAGGATGTATATTTAATAATAAAAAAAAAATCGAGTTGACTCGCAGGCTCCCCGGGGGTGTCTCGTGTTCCACGTCGAGGGGGGGGGTCCCACAACCCCGGGTGGGTTTGTTGGGAGGGGCTTTGCAGGGAAGTTGGGAGAAGCCTGGAAGGAGGGAAAGGAGCCCTGGGGCTGGTCCAGGCCCTGCCGTGGTGTGGGACAGGGACACAGGGCCGGGTGTGTGGTGGCAGCAGGTGGCACTGTCGGCTTAGCCACGGCCTGGTGGCTTCCCCCGGGTTGGGGACCCCCAGCTGCTGCCAGTCTGGGGGGGTTTTGGTGTTTTCCAGCCGCATTCCAGGCCTGGTGTGGCTGTGGCACCCAGTGCAGTGCAAGGTGAGGAGGTCAGAGCAGGGAGGACGAGTCCAGCCCTCCCAGAGCAGCCTCCCTGTATCCCATTGCTGTTCCCTGGGATGTCCCCTTGTATCCCGAGGGAAATCGAGACCCAGAGGCTCAGACTTGCCCTGAACCTTGTAGGAGCTGCTCCCTGTCCATCTTCCCTGGAGCAGGACCAGCTCCAGCCTTCCTTTGGCTTCCTGGCTCCCTGTGTTTGGGAACCATCCACCCTGGATCGCCTTGGGCTGCCAGCCCTGGGGAGAGCTGCTCCCAAATTCCCTCCAGGCT